AGCGACTTGGTGTCGCTATGGGCCATAGCGCCAGGCTTTTTGTATTTTTATTTTTTGCAAATAATCATGTTTAATTTTTAATTTTTCGTTTTTAAATTTTTAATTAAAATTACACTAAGTAAATAATTTTAAAAAATTATTTTATAATATGTTAAATTTTAAAAAAATTGGGCAAAAAATAAGAAATTAAATAATCACCTTTTTTTGTTTAATATAAATAAATTTATATTTTCCGTAATTTATTTATAAATTTAATTAAAAATAATGAATTGTGTAGTTTAAAGAAAATTTATTGTTTAAATCTATTAATAATTTTTTTATATGTTAATTTACAAAAAACTGGGCAAAAAATAAGAAATTAGAAAAGGAAAAATGGGTGTCGCTATGGGCTGCGACACCTTTTGTATATATATATTTCAAATATTTACGTTTTATTTTAAAATTTTTGTTTTTATATTTTTAATTAAAACTACACAAATTAAAAAATTAAATTAAATTTATATCTTTATATGTTAATTTTAAAAAATTGGGAAAAAAATAAGTAATTAAAATAAAAAGAAAAAAAATGTCAAGCCTGTTTTTAATAAACTAGTATAAGAAAAAAAAGCATACGAAAAAATAAAACTGAGGAAAGAAATATAAATAAAAAACGGACACACAAAAAAATGAAGAGAAAAAATGTAGAAAAATACAAAAAAAAATGAATTACAAAATAAATTAAAAAAACACTGGTAAAATAATTCAGGAGAAAAAAATGACCCAATGACAAAAAAAAAACAAACATTTTGAAGAAAAAAAACTGAGATAGAAAAAAATAAAAAACTAAAAAAAAAAGTTGATGTCGCTATGGGCCATAGTGACTTTTTGTCTCTATAGCCCATAACAACTTTAGGTAGAAAAAAAAATGAAAAATGAAAAAATAAAAAAGGCTGATGTCGCTATGAGCCATAGCGACATTGTGTCGCTATGGGCCATAGCGACATCAGTCTTTTTTATTTTTCAAAATTTCCGTTTTTTTTGGTTATTGAGTTTTTTTTTCTCCAAATTTATTGTACTAGTTTTTTTAAAAAAAAATTATTTTGTAATTCATTTTTTATGGGCTTTTTGACCATAGTAGAGCTGTTTTAAAAGCATTTTACGCAATTTATATATTTTTATTTTATAAATATTTATATTTCATTTTAAAAACTTAATTTATATATTTTTAATTAAATAAGTGCAGAAATAAACAAATTAAATTAAATTTAAATTTTTAGTATTTTGTTTAATATAATTAAATATATATTTTCAGTAATTCAAAAATACGTAATTTAAAATAAAAAAGTACTGGTGTTGGGCGACACCATGTTTGTTTTATTTTTATTTTATACATATTTATATTTCATTTTAAAAACTTAATTTATATATTTTTAATTAAATAAGTACAGATATAAACAAATTAAATTAAATTAAAATTTTTAGTATTTTGTTTAATATAATTATATATATATTTTTAGTAATTCAAAAATACGTGATTAAAAAAAAAAAACTGGTGTCGCTATGGACAGCTACACCACTAATTTTAACGTTTTTTTAAAATTATTTACTTAATTTATTTTTTTCACATTTTAATTTATATTATGAATTTAATATAAATCTATATTTATAAAAAATTCTTTTATGTAATTTCTTTATTTTATATTTTTTTTTTCTTTTTAAGTATTTAAATATTTATGAAAGTGGCACTATGGCCTATAGCGACAGTGTGTCGCTATAGGCCATAACGCCACCATTTTTAACTTCTTTTTTTTATATTAAAAAGATGATGCTGTAGGCTATAGTGATTTCATTGAAATTATTTTGTGTCGTCATAGGCTGTAACAACATTATAAATATGATTTTTATGGCTTTTCTAGAGTTCAAAAATTCCAAGTGTCAACGGTGTCGCTATGGCGTTAAAAACTACCCTAAAGGTATACATAGTTTAAAAATAATTCCATTCACGTAAATAACTTGCCAAAGTGCCCAAACTGGTCTATCAACTCTCAAATTTCTCCATTTTAGGTGGGCTGGATACGTTTGATCAGCCCCACGTGCTTAACCAAACGCTGGCTTAAGTAAGTATTTAATGCAAAATTATACACTTATCTAAAAAATTACTTAAAGCTGAATCACCTTTTACTTTTACAAAATACAGTACTAATAAATATAAAAACTAAAGTAATCAGTCATGATAGCAATTAGTATATGACCTCAGACTCCGTGCTCTTTTTGTCCCAAAAATGTGAGGCATAGTGCCTAAGTCGGCCCATTCCACAAATCATTATTCTTACATGCCATGTCTTCTAAGTACTTCATCTATCTTTCAATTAGGTCAACCCAGACCAAGGACAATATAAAGGACATCCATTATAAATCAGCAAACTCAGAAGAAAAAAACTACAACTAATAAATTTATTCAATTAAATACTTAAATTTCAAAGTACTACTACAGTTTTTGTAATTACTATATAAAATCAATGAATAAATAACGGGAAACTTTTTCAAATGTAATTAATATCTAAAGACTGAATTTCAAAGTATTGATACTACTCTCTGGCCAGCTTAGTCCCACACTAACCGCGCTTATCCCAATAATAACACCTATATCCAAGTCTCGTAATCAACCACCCATAAAGCTATAGCTCTCATTACAACCACCTTTCCCCTTTCCCAATACTTAAACAAGAAGAAGGAGCACCCATAGTCATTGTTTATTAATTATGATTATGAAGGACTTAAATTAGAAAACATTACTATATTAACCCCAAAACGCAAAGCTTATGAAACTCTTACCCTCCTAAACAACATGCAATGCCAAAACCAACCTTCCCCCAATTCATCCAAAGCTTCTTCCAACTCTTGTTCACTTTGTTAATTCAATAGCCTTGACGTGAACCCTTCTCCTCCCAAAATATAAACACCCCCAATTCTTCACTACACTCACTCCCAATTTTCCTTGCTACACTTTCTCTCCAATGGGACCTCTCACTTACCTCTTCCCACTCTTCCTCCTCTTTTGCTCAACACACTCACGAACCACACCACAACCCCCCAAAACGACAGTCCTCGACGTCGTTTCCTCCCTTCGAAACGCGCACAATGTCGTCGGCTTCCCTCAAAAACGACAACAAGAACCGTCGCTACTATCGTCGTTCGCTATTCACTTACACTCCCGCGCCTCAATCCAAAAACCCTCCCACCGCGACTACGAATCGTTAACACTCACGCGACTCGCGCGCGACTCAGCCCGAGTCAAAGCCCTGCAAACTCGCCTGGATCTCGCGCTGAACCGCGTCTCCAACTTGGACCTCCACCCGGCCGAGTCGGCCTCCGAGTTGGAGTTCGAGTCCAACGCGCTGCAAGGCCCAATCGTGTCGGGAACGAGTCAGGGAAGCGGCGAGTACTTCCTCCGAGTCGGAATCGGAAAACCAGTGAGTCAGGCCTACGTGGTGCTCGACACGGGAAGCGACGTGAGTTGGATCCAATGCGCGCCATGCTCCGAATGCTACCAACAATCCGACCCGATTTTCGACCCGGTTTCGTCGTCCTCCTACGCGCCGATCCACTGCGACGCGCCGCAGTGCAAGTCCCTGGACCTCTCCGAGTGCCGCAACGGAACTTGCCTCTACGAGGTCTCCTACGGCGACGGATCCTACACCGTCGGCGAGTTCGCCACCGAGACGGTGACTCTCGGCGGCGCCTCCGTCAGCAACGTCGCCATCGGCTGCGGCCACAACAACGAAGGACTATTCGTCGGCGCCGCCGGCCTGCTCGGCCTCGGCGGCGGAGCGCTCTCGTTTCCGGCGCAGGTTAACGCGACGTCGTTTTCGTACTGCCTCGTCGACCGCGACTCCGACGCCGTCTCAACGCTCGATTTCGACTCGCCGTTGCCGCGCAACGCCGTCACGGCGCCGTTACTGCGGAACCCCGAGCTTGACACGTTCTACTATCTCGGACTGAAGGGGATCAGCGTGGGCGGCGAGGCTCTCCCAATTCCCGACGCGAGCTTCGAGGTCGACGCCAGCGGCGGCGGCGGCATCATCGTGGACTCCGGCACGGCGGTGACGAGGCTGCGGAGCGAGGTGTACGACGCGCTGAGAGACGCGTTTGTGAGAGGGACGAAGGCGTTGCCGAAGGCGAACGGCGTGTCGTTGTTCGACACGTGCTACGACTTGTCGTCGAGGAACAGTGTGGAGGTTCCGACGGTGTCGTTTAGGTTCCCCGAGGGGAGGGAGTTACCGTTACCAGCGACGAATTACCTGATACCGGTTGACTCGGTGGGGACCTTTTGTTTGGCGTTCGCGCCCACGACGTCGTCTTTGTCAATCATTGGTAACGTGCAGCAGCAGGGGACACGTGTCGGTTTCGATATCGCTAACTCGCTCGTTGGATTCGCTGCCAATAGCTGCTAGTAAAACTGGGTGGTAGACGTAGAACAGGAGAATCTCGTGCTCACTTTTATTTTATTTTTTAAAATTTAATATTTGTTGTTTTTCTTTTAATTACAATTTGTAACGGTGGGTTGAGGGTAATTTTTTGGTTTTTGAATTGTTTGTGGTGTGGGCCCATTCAGATAAGGTGCAATGTAAGTTGGGCCAGCTGAATGGTGGTAATGTGCAGTGTGAGGAAGTGGTGCTTATTATCAAGGGTTACCAATTTTAGACAAAGAACATGTGACTATATATGGTGGTAAATGGAGTGCTATTAATGTGAGAATGGAAGATAGTATAGTAATGATAGATATACACATAGGGTCCACCCAATTCACGGATTTCCCGTTTTTAGGACCGGTTGAAGCTGCTTCATTAATCACAAATATGGTAAAAAAAATTATTTTGCTGCTTACAACTTGCTATGAAAGAAAGTGGTGATTTGCAGTTTGCACACATAAATGGATTTTATTTCATATGAATCCTCTAAACAGATAGATGTTTTTATGCCTAAAACCATTGTTTAAGGACAAGTTCCAAAGTTAACTCTTTTTAAGGACAAGAACAATGATTAATGCATAATGTTGCGGCAAGAACAAGATTGTATGTAGTGTTCTTTATAAAATAAAATAAAAAATGTGTTGAGATGTTAATGGTGTGAAGTTCATTGCATTTTGCATTTGTTCTCTTTCCTCACCTTTCTCTCTTCTCTCTATGCTTGTCCCCTTCTCCCCTTTCAGGCCTATCGAAAGCTATTCTCGAGTTATTGTCTCCACAAGAGCACCACTGTCTAGGATCTGTCTCTTGCACTATTTGCCCCATTAGAACACCACCTCCATGGTGACCATCTTTCACTTTATTGTAGTTTTGAGTTAACTTATTTGTTGTGGTGTTAGATTTTTTTTGTTGGTTCATGCCTTTAAGAACAAGATGTTATTGTTATTACGGTTGATTATTGTTTCTCGCAACTTGAAATTCAAGTGATTGGTGATGATATAACGAGGGTATACGTAACTCTTCATGTGAATAGATTTTATTGTTTAGAAGGAATTACACTTACTTGGCCCCCACCTCTTACACGTAAGCAACTTCATGGCTTCTTGGGTCTAATTAGTTATTATCGTCATTTTGTTTGTGGTTATGCTTCATTAGCATGTCTTCTCCATTCTTAGCTTCAAAAGCATGCTTTTTGTTCGAATTCCACCACTCAACAGACTTTTGAGAAACTAAAACAAGCCATTACATAGGCTCCTATTCTAATCTTACTTGATTTCACTACGCCCTTTGAATTGGAAACAAATGCATCTAATGTTGGAGTGGATGTTATACTAAGCCAATGAGGCCATCCAATTGCTTTCTTTTCAAAGAAATTATCCCCTTGGTTGTAGGCTAAATCTGCTTATGTACGCAAGATGTATGTAGTGACAGAAGTGGTAGCTAAATTTCATCATTACTTGCTCATTTTATTATCCGCACTGACCATCAAAGTTTACGTCCATTAGTGGATCAAGTTCTAGAAACTCCTGAGTAGCAACAATGGATGCATAAATTAATGGGATATGACTTTGTGATTGAATACAAATCAAGAAAGTAAAAAACAAGTGTTGATGCCTTTTCACAGGTGAGTTGTTTCGCTCTATCCATGGTTACATGTTATTTTATGCATGCCCTTCGTAAAAAATTAAATGAAGATCCTAAGTACAGTACCATTTTGGTAGCTTGTGGCAATGGAATTTCCCCACTTTCTTTTCATCTTCATGATGGTTTTTCGTATAAGAATGATCGCCTTATTATTCCTTCTCATTCTCTGTTGGCTTTGCAACTGGTGAAGGAGTTTCATGATACTCAAATTGGGGGACATGCTGGGTTCTTAGGGACTTATAAATGGTTGATGTCTTAGTTCTTTTGGCATGGTCTTAAGAAATAGGTTAAAGAATATGTTTAGCACTGTTAGATTTGTCAACAAGTTGAAACTTCTCAATCTTTGCCTTTGGGACTACTTACCAATTCCTCATCATATTTGGGAGGATATTTCAATGGATTTCATAACTAGTTTTCCTCTAGTACATGAGCATACGGTCATTATGGTCATTGTTGATAGGTTATCTAAATATGCTTATTTGATTCAACTCAAAATTGCTTATCTAAATATGCTTATTTGATTCAACCTATCAATTTACTCAACATGTTGTGAAGCTTCATAGCATGCCTAAATCAATTGTCTTGGATCAGGACAAGTTCAAATTTATGCTGATATTTTTTTTAGTGCTATTAATGCATCCTTGTGTGAGGATTTTGCTAAGCTTATGCAAACGAAGTTTGAAATGAGCATAATGGACGAACTAAAATTATTTTTGGGACTATAGGTCAAAAACACAAATGAAGATATATTCATTCATCAAAAGAAACATACGAAAGAACTTTTCACCAAGTTTAAGATGAATAACTGCAAACCTATGCCTAAACCTACAAATGTGTTTGTGAACTATCAAAAGGTGAATTAAGTAAACTAATAGATCAAATGATTTATAAGGGCATGATTGGTTCACCCCTATATCTTACTACTAGTAGACCCGACATCATGTATAGTGTATGTTTATGTGCACATTTTCAATCTAATCTTAGAGAGTCTCATCTTAAAGTAGTTAAGTGTATTTTCATTTATCTTGTTGTACTGCTAACCTAAGTTTATTTTATGAGAAAAACAAAGATTTCAAGTTGGTAGGATATTGTAATGTAGACTATGCTGATAATAGTGTGGAAAGAAAAAACACAAGTGGAGAATATCATTTTCTAGGTCCTTGTCTCATTTCTTAGGCAACTAGAAGCAAAACTTTATCGCACTCTTTACTACAGAAGCTAAATACATCTTAGATGCTAGTTGTTTACAACTACTATGGGTAAAATATCAATTAGAAGACTATTCTAGTCTCGAGCATAATAAACATGTATACTATGATAACACTAGTGTCATTAATTTGTCCAAAAATCTTATACAACATTCTAAAGCTAAGCACATTGAGAGAAGATATCATTACATTCAAGATTATGTACAAACAAAAGTTTTTGAAAAAATTTATTCATATTGATTTATACCATTACTAAAGCTTTGGCTAAAGAATGCTTTAGATTTACTGGAAGTTATCTTAACTTGAAATGCATCTCAAACTAAACATCATTGTTACCTCGTCTTAGATTTGCTTCATTTTACATGATTCATTTGTCATGCATCATCTTTAGGTTGACCTGTACATGCATTGTCTATCATTTCATTAATTTGTCATACATATTATTTTATTACCATATTCACACTATCCTATCATCTTCCATCTAGAAAGGTATCTATCGCATTTAATTTTTATTAATGATTACAAAATAAGGTTTTGGTTAAAAACATGTGTAAAACAATAGAATGATTAAAGATGTTGAATTAGAATTAAATGACCTGTTCTTTCTCTCATCATGTCTTTTTACTTTACCAACCATATAAACACAAAAACCATTTGCTCTCCCTTATTCAAAACACTTAACCATTATCGTATCTTCTCTTTGAAACCTCCTCTCTCAAGAACCTTAAAACTTCCTCTTAGAAGCCTTTCTTCTACACCCTTAAAACTGGCATCCAAACAAGCATCCCACAGAAGCAAGGTTCCCATGGAAAATTTTCCTAAATCTTCCTTCCTTCTTAGGAAGTATATACATCTTACTTAGCTTGCAAAGGACAACTTTCTTATCAAGCACTACTTGGACAAGGTAGAATGGTCCCACTTCAATGAGTTATGCAACTAGTTTAATGCACCTGACACTTACTTTTAGACATATGCAATGGTTGACGACAATGCCATTGTCAACTTTGTTGATGGCATGGAGATAAGGATCACTCCAACTCTGATAGGCATTCTCTCCATTTGCAAGGAGGTCAATCTTACCTACACAAAGGGATGGGAAAAGGACATCTTTAAAGAGATCGTTTGATTAAACTAGCTTGGAAACGGTTGGTGTGTCTCTTCAACTAGTCTTAATGTGCTCCCAATCTTCTTTCACGGATTCAAAGCTTCAAAATCACGAACAAAAGAGGAGGAAAAAGGAGATATGTGCTACTTCAAGTGAAGATATGCAAGGATATGAAGAAATTGCTACAAGGAAGAAATTTTTGATAAAATTTCTTAAGAGTTTCTCTAAGAGAGAGAACTAAGACTTTTAGAAGAAAACAAATATGAATTTTATTCTCAAATACATCAAAAGTGGACATCCAAGAGGTGCTTACTGTTAGAAAAGAATGACACAATCCAATAGGGGGGGTGAATTGGATTCTATGACACTTAATGTTCTAAAATACAAGGGTATAATGGTCCAAAAAATTGGAGACCATGGTGGTTACCGAAAAGGGTATCCCTTTATATATTAGTATAGATTATTATAGATAAAGGTGGTATTTATTTTTATTGTACATATTTTATTAACCATTTTGTCCTTTAACTTCTAAAACACATACTCTTTATCTATTTAGTTTTTAGGCTTAATTGCGTTTTTTATCTCTCAAGTATTATAATTGAGCAATTTTGATCTCTAAAGTTTTAATTGGGTAATTTTAATCCTAAAAGATTGCAATTGTGCGATTTTGGTCCTTCAATTTTTAATCGGACAGTTTTAGTCCCTCAAATATTACGATTGTACGATTTTAGTCTCTTCCATTAAAAATTTAATAATTTTAATATATATACATATACACACGATGTTTTAAAATTATACAATTATTTGTCTATTCAAGTTAACGTATATTATAATTTTCATTAATGTATTAAATGATATATATTTATTATTATTAAATAAATAAATTTTATATATTATTATTTTTATAATATTACTGATAAATTAATATCAATAATATTATTAACTGCTATTGTTTCTGTGTCGCCTTTTGATCATCGAAGGGATCATCGAAGGGAGAAGAAGCAGATGAAAGAGAGCAACAAAAGAGAACCCAGACATAAGAACGCTTAAAATGTAATGTCGAAAAACCATAGTCCGTTTGTGACATGTGAATCTATTATAATTATTGAAAAAGGCAATCCATGTCTGCATTGTATTAAAAGAAAAAATAAATAAAAAAGAAAAAAATGAGAAGTTGCTCATAAAAAAGGTAGTTATTGAAAAATAAACAAAAAATAAAATAGTCCATATAAAAATGAAAATCAAAAGTAGTTATTGAAAGTTGTATCTCCTTTATATATTAGTATAGATTCATTAGTTTCAAGTATTTAAATTTTGATTAAAAAATATTTTTTCTAATTTTCTAAAATACAAGGGTATAATGGTCCAAAAAATTGGAGACCATGGTGGTTACCGAAAAGGGTATCCCTTTATATATTAGTATAGATTATTATAGATAAAGGTGGTATTTATTTTTATTGTACATATTTTATTAACCATTTTGTCCTTTAACTTCTAAAACACATACTCTTTATCTATTTAGTTTTTAGGCTTAATTGCGTTTTTTATCTCTCAAGTATTATAATTGAGCAATTTTGATCTCTAAAGTTTTAATTGGGTAATTTT